CTTCCCTCTCAGTCATGTGCAGACATTGTATCTATGCTAACAATCTTTAGGACAATAAAAGCATTGTTTATTTTTCACCCATTAGCAGTCATGGACTATTGCCCTTTCAAGCAGTATTCTTTGAACCGTGTTTGTAGCAGGCATGTGAGTTCGGGTCATATGCATGGAGGTGGGCACCTGCCCGATCATCACGGAGGTTTTTATTCGTAGATCTTAGTTCTCTTGCGTCCGAGCTTAAAATCATGCAGTTGTGATATTCTAGGGGAGTTTCTTGAAGTTTGTTTGTGTTAATTTTTATATCTCATTTAATTTTGCTGTCATGCAATTCATGTTGTTATTAATACATAACCTGATAAACATGGAGGGATGAAAATATAAAAGGAGTGCAGTGCTACTAATTAAGTCAACTACATCAGTTGAATCTACTGCTGGGTTTTAAAACATTTTTTCTGCTTCAATAATGTTCTACGTATGAATTTAAGTTTTGTATTCGGCTGTTGGCCGGGTTCTTTAGTACTTCTAATTAAATGTAGAGTATTTAATTCTGAAAGTAAAAGGGAGAGGATTTATTATATATTTTTTATTGTTTTTTAGAGGACATTTTAATAGAAGTTGAGGCTTCCATGAATATCTAGTTAATATCAGGTATCGCTAAAAAAATTAGTTTGCTTAAAAAAATTCTCGATCTCAAAATATAAAACATTTTCGTGACTAGAGGCATGCTTTAAGAAGAATCAATGATAAGTAATAGTTATTCTTTAAAATGGAGATAATCTAATATGATCTGTAATTTTAATTACAGAATGAATATACCTGGCATAACATGAGTGCAAACTGCATAGAGCCTCCAAACAAATTGAGTGACTGTTTTGAGTTCTTATGATTTTGTGTTTAACTACTGTTTTCTAGTTTCCTTCTTCTGCTTATTGGTTCTGAAGCACTATTTACAATCTCATGTATAGTCATACCTTTGTTATCATTCAGATAGGATGATACCTATAGTTTGCAATTTTTCCCTTCCATATTAAAAAAAAGTATGTTTGTTGGGAGGAAGGTTTATGCAGTTTCTAT